TTGGGATATTTTACTGGAAAAAGACGTTAGTGGTCACCTAACAACAAAACTTGATATGATGAACGTGATGACTTCAATTTTTCTATCAACTTCCCTCACTTATGTAGCAATATACCCTTATCACCTGCATATGAGCATTTGTGGTGTGTATCTCCCAATTGATTCGATACAATATACACTGTACTTATCAACAAGAAAACATTGATCAATTCTCGTCCGGGAAATAAATGAAGTAAAATCTTGATCATCAAACTGCTTCGACTTGGGTGATAAAAGTATACGTCTGAACGATCGAGACTATGGTCGTGAAGATTTACGGAAAGCTTCTAATCTGATGAAAATCAAACAAAAACGATACCGTTTAAAACTTCATCATTTCCTCAAGTAACTGTTGGCTGCATAAAATATAAATTAGAATCAGACACATGTATCACTTATCATCAAATATATATTTGACTTAATGAATATAAAACACAAACTGTGTAACGTACGTTTTTATGCGTTAAGTAAAATTTCATGTTCTAAAAATTTTGTCGATAGTATATGATAAGCAACTTTCGATATTATATATGAAAAACATATATTTTTAAAGACGTACCTCATGGAAGTAAACGTATTGTGTATCTCGTAATTTATAAAGGGAAAGAACATTCTGATGTATAATCTTTTTAATGTAAAATTAACCTTTAATTCTGAATAACTTCTCCCACCTCAATCCCATACACCAAAACTTAAACTCATAAGTATAGAGCAACCCGGTCTTCCAGGCTGCAATAAGTTTGAAAGGTCGTTTGCATATTTTTATACGATCATCTTTTACTTATTCTACTGTGTTCTCACATTAGTAAGAACAATCATATGAATTGCAATTTTTTTACTGATAATAGATAAAAGTATATAAGAAAGATATGTTTGTCAGCAAAATATTGAGCATCAGTTGTAGATATTAAATCCAAAGCGGTGTTACAATGTGATTGTATTTTAGCAGTAATAAAGTGTTTTCACTCACGATGTGTTGTGTTATGACAGTGATTTAATATTTGTGAAAATGAATTTCAGATTTCTATATAACATAAACAAAATTTAAATTCACGATTTTCATGCATTCAGTACATTTTAATCTGTTACAGTGTAAAAACACGTGTCATTTTATCTTTATTGAATCTTATTAAGTTACTAGTTTTGATGAAATGTGTCGCTGTTTAGATCAGACTTGAAAAAATCCAATACCAAATTCGCAAGCTATCCAATATCTGCCATGAAAAGGGTTTTATCTATTGATTTTTGTATTATAATATAAATATAAGTATTTTTAGAAATAATTCTTTTTTGTTGTCGTCGTCAATCCCTGCTACTAAGGATACACACCAGGGTGTTAAATCACGTGTACTTCTAAGGTATGAAAACAGTCAACCTGTATATCTTATCTAAAATGATAGATAATTCATTCCACAATACAGCATCACAATTGTTTTTTTACAATAACGTATGTGCTTGGAAATATCTAGAATAAATGAAAGTGATAAGAATACATTTCATTTTCTCCTTTCAGCGATAAAATCTTCCATGTTTTTGTTGTTCGAATTGGTCGAAAACTATAGAGAAAAATATGAATTGGTACTGTATGCCTGTTGTCTTTCTCTGACAATCAGTTTGTCTTAATTACAATTCTAAATGCTACTACTACAAATTATATATATTATCAAGAAAATACAAAATCGAATAAACATTTTAACCGTAGCCGCTTTCTGCCTTGTTATGACTCCAGACAGTTACAGATATTAATATATAAGCACATCGACCGAGTACGAAGAGAGACATATTCATGAACAAAATTTCAAGATAAAGGGAGCAAACTGCAATTATTTTTTTTCAACACATTGACACTAGAGATCAAAATTAAGTAAGCCGTTTTAATGTCATTGTGTTTCCTTTAAACTGGTATTTTGGAGGGGGGGGCTGGGGGATGATAAGGTTTTTTCTAAATTGAAAACGAAGCCAAAATATGGCTGAATTATTGCCGACTCACTAATCAATCAATCAATCAATCAATCAATCTAAATGTAAAAGGTGAAGATAACGAAAAATGATCAATCTCACAAATCCTGAAAAAAAATCCGAATCCTGAACAGGGAAAATTTCAGATCACTGGAAACATTAGAGAGGGGATCAGAAGGCGTAAACAATACCTGTCGAGCGGACACGCAATCAGTGAGCCTATCTATTCATCAGGCGGAGTCATCCGTGGTCAATAGTATAAAAGTAATGAATCAACAATTGGTATGAAACATGTCTGACGAAATACGATTCAACAAGACGTATTTCTAAACAAGGTCATTATAACTACCAAAGAATTTGCCAAGGCTGAATATCAAAGAGGTTTTTGAAATCCTTGTAACATCTACTTATTGGTCAGTAGCCTGCCTCGGTTTAAAATTTCATCGTACTCAGGACCCGCGTCATCGAATCTTGCGTATATAATCAGTTGGGAGACAAACATTATATGCGGTGATAATAGAATATAACTACATAAATAACATAAGTTGACAATGGAAACGCCGAGGTTATCCCGTTTATCATGTAGTTTAGTGTTAGTTTGTCATTCTTGTCTATAGTCAGTAAGATATTCAAATTTGAAATAGAAGCAGAATATGTAGAGTCTTTCATCATGAGTTCACTGGGATATAAAGTTAACTTAAGAATGGAAGAAACTATTGTTAATTAATAGACATATACCTAAATGTCGAGTTGAAGGCCACAGCAAGAGTTTTCTTCTCATTTAGAAGTTTTTGAATAAAGCCTGCTTCATAAGATGACAAAAAGATCGGCTAATAAAGTAGCACAATTTGTGTCCATTGAAATTCAAACTGTTTGTAGACCTTTGAACTTTTTCACAAAATACCTTACAACTAAGACAAAAATTTCAATTTTCCAAAACGTATGTGAGTTATAGCAGGTCATAGAAAATTTTATATTTCTATTACTATACAATATATTATGATAAAACCTTCAGAAAAAGTTACAGGGTTTTCAATTTTAATCTTAGTAGTAAGTCGTAAGATTTTTTTGTGTGAAAAGAGCTACAGGTTTTCAAAAACTTTTTGTCAGTAAATAACTCCACCATCTTTTTCTTTCTTCCGAGTAAATAGCCATTTTGACTACGGATTACTCCGTCTACCTGATCAAAAGGAAGAATCACAGTGGGTATGACCGGTCGACAGGGGATGTTTACTCCTCTTACGCACCTGATCCCGCCTGTGGTGTTTCCAGGGGTTTGTGTTTTTGCCTTGTTCATATTCGTACTCTTTACTGGATTTATGAGATTGATAATTGATCGTTATCTTTACCTTTCACACTCATTATTGTATGGTACTTCTGGACCTTATATACACTAAATTAAATAAAAAATGGTTTGTGTGTGTTTGGGGGAGGGGGGTGAACTTTGAAAAAAATGTACCATATTAAGGTAAAAAGACTAAGACAATCTATTTCATTTTCAAAATCGGAAATCTGTTATTCTCCCTCAGGAAAAAATGTTCTAGAGAACAAATTACTGATGAACAGAAACCACTTGCTTACTTAAGTGGACCGGTCCGGGTAACCTAATGGTTTACTTCATGATCAAGGGGATCCGGGTTCGATTCTCATTCTCGATGCCAAGTCAAATCTAAGATGTGAACATTGGTAGTAACTGTTCCTTCGTTAAGCGTCCGGCACTAGAAGTGAAAGTCATGGGTTTTTCAGGCGAGACCTTAAAAAGTGAGGTCCCGTGTCAAGGTAAGCAGCGGCACGACAAAGAATCCTCACTGCTCAATGAACATGAGGGCTGAGTAAAAGTCTGAATTTGAAGCCCCTCGCCGGTATATGGTGACGTCTCATATGAGTGAAAAATTTTAGCAAGGCACGTGATTATAAACAATCAATCAGTCTTTCATAAATGGAGAAACACAACACATACAAATAAAGTATTTAATTACATTATCATATTAGGAACTCTTGAATTGATTAAAGACTATCAATGGGTGTCAATTCATTCAACGGGAAGTTCACTCGAACTGCATATACCTTGGAATTGGAACTCTTCAATGTGCAGTCGATAGAGGTTCCTTAATTTGAATTGAATTGTATTTATTTAATAATGTTAGAGAGACATTTTTTTCTATACTTTAATCATTTTCTTTATTCAAAATCTTCAATGTTGAAGAGAAAGAAGAGTTGCTACAATGTATGATTGGAAAAAATATTTTTTTTAGTTATTAAGAAATACTGACATACAAGGTGTCCCAGAATATATGATACCATTTCAAGATTCTGTAAAACCCTATGTGATGAATATTGAATTACAACAAATGCATTAAAAACAATGCATATACTGTCCAATTTTATTCACATAATTTGGTAGTCATTAAAAAGAAAACAACAAAATGAGTACACGTTGAAAAATGCTATGGTTTTTACATGATGCCCTCTTCAAGATGACGTTCTGTCTGTGTAATGATAATGTCTAGACACTGCACAATATTCCTTAACTTGAGACAACAGTGCCTGTCTCGGTTGCAACTTCTGGATTTTCATCAGAGGTAAACGTTTTATATATGTTAAGGATTCTGGTTTGGGTTTAGCAGCAGTAACCTAAGACTAGGATTGATAATTATAGTTTTAAAATGAGGGTAGCAAGCTCTTTTGATGATCCATTTTGATTGAAATTGCAGTTATTTGCAAAAGTTTGATGTAAAATTGTAACGTTGCAATTTCATCAGTGTGGGAATTTTTTTGGAATATTTTGTTGTAAAAAAAAATTGTACTTATTTAAATATTGTGTTTGTGGCAGGTATTTCAAAAGGTATCATATATTTTGGGACACCCTGTATGTTAATAGTGTTCGGAAGCGAATGAAATTTTGGATCACTTTCTTCTTTATTTTATCATAACTCCAGCACTTCCTATCATTTATGCTGGATTCTAAATCGTTTATTTCAATATTTCTAGCATAAGAATTGTCATGATTTGACGGAACGGTTTGCTTGTGACCGTTCAAAATTGGCGTGGTCGTTTTTTGTGTTGAAATTATTTGACTTTGGTGTGCCTGGTTTGAAACCAGTTATATACTCTGACAAATCGACGTCATCGGATTCGGATATAAAACTCCGTTCCGATTCCATGCTTTCAATATTAGCAAGGTCGTCTTCTATCTCTTTGGTAAGTCTTGAGATCTGTCGAGTGAGATGTTCCAATCCATCTGAATTGTCCAGATACTTTTGCATTTCTTGTTTGATTTTTTCTGTGTTGGTTTTAAGCAAGGCTAATTGTTTTTCTTGTTCCTGTTTTTCTATTTGTTTATCTCTGATGAATGTTTTTATTTCTTCTATCTGTAGCTTAATGTCGCCGAGAAAATGGATAAAATTTGGTCTCAATTCCAACTCTAAAAGATAGTCTTCTTGCACAACATTTTTCTTGTATTCAAGAATTTTTAACGCAGATTGTCTTTTTGTTAATTCAGCATTGAACTCATTTGCTTTGTTTGCCAGTTCAATATGTTCTTCTGATCCTCTTCTGACGTTGTTTAGGTTCTCAATCGTTTGTTGACGTTCATAGAGAAGCGTATTGTATTCCTTTTGTGCATGTAAAAGGTTTGAATCCACTTGTTCGAAATTATTGGTCAGTTTGTCTATTCGACATTCACGAGATTCCAATGCCTGCATCTCCATATTTAAATTCTCTAGTTTAACTTTATTTTGTTGTATGGCCTCACCTATTTCTCGTATATTCTGTTTGATTTCTTTTGCTTGGTGGGCATAATCATTGGCAGCTCTCATACTTTCCTCTGGGTTTTGAGATTCTGAAGTTTTGGGCTTTTCATTTGGTGATAAGGTATTTTCTCGAGACTTTGGCACATTCTCTTTTAACTTGGTTTTGAGTGGAAGTTTATCCCGGTAGATAGTTTTTGCCAAATTAAGCCACTCTTTGGCCATATCTACAGCATTGTAACATTTCACAAACACATCTGGTACGAGTCGCAGTACCGGCTCAAACGAAGAATAATTACTGAAAGTCATTAACTCATGACTACTGTCAGGATCAAAATCATCTAGATTTAATTCACGATCCCTCAAAAGTCCCGCCCACTTCCGATCAAGCTCTTCTAATCGTGTAACAACAGTAAACAACTTCTGCAGGTCGGCTGTTCTAACTTCTTCTTCTGTTGGTTGAGGGCCTCGTTTTGAACTTTTACTTTTCTGTGTTTTCGTCGGAGGAACTCTCTTTGTCTCGTTGCTTTCAGGGCGGTCCTTCAAAGCTGAACGCCTTGGACGATCAGCAGGATCAAAATAATCTTTAAGCAACACAGAATGAATGTTATCGTCATAATGGCGTTTTAAATTCCCAAGGTACTTGTAATCATTCTCAAATGTTTCTAAATATTTTAATGCCTGCTTCTCTTTTTCTGTCAATGTGGCATTCTTTTGCTCCCGTTTGATAAGTGGTTTCATGGATTGTCTAAGCTGTTCCATTGACTTGATTTTCAGAATCGGAGCTGTAGAAGGTTTCTTAGCCTCCCCTGACGTTTTAGCTCCCCTTGGCTGGCTAGGGTTGGCTGCTTTTTGTTCCTCAGCGGCCACCTGAAGCATGCTGAACAAACGCTCTTTTGAAAAACGTGAAATTGCATGGCGGAGTAATTTTTCAAATGCCGTTATCTGATTAAGCACAGACTCGGGTGAATTGGTACCCCTATCTTCCGTTCCAAGAATGTGTGTCTGCCAAAAAAAAAATTTATATCAAAGAAAATAAATCAGTTTATATAATTACATACATATACTTTAAAGAAATGAGAGAACAATTTACATGTATATAAATAATATACATCAAAGACGTTTTCCCTATAGCCAAAAAAACATTATCAAATATCATGACTGTTTATGGTGATCCATCTAATCCATATCCATGTACATACACGTATGCCATGACAAAATTTCTGGCATTACTTTTTGCACTTTCTTTCCCTGTTTATTTCATATTGTTAGCATTTTCTTTTCAATGTTTTCTTTTTTTTCTCTCATTGTTTTCCGTTAGAGGGGAGGGGGGCTACATATTGTTTGTTTTAAATCTCATTGACTCGGCAGTTGGGTTGTCTGTAACACTTGGAATCTGTAAATATTAATTAGTTGTCTTGAGATTTTTAGATTTTTAAGATGTTTTCAAATTTAAAACAACAATATTATATAATGCAATGACAATGCAATCTTGCTTTATGAGAAATAAGAAAAGTCGGGCAAAATATTTTTTATACCGGCTTCGTAATATGGACTTCTTGCACAGTGAAATGGACCATAATCAACTTAGTTCTCTTTCTGTGGCCAGTTGTCTTATATTAAAGGTCAAGTTTAACAAATGTCAAAATTACCTAAACACTAAAAGGGCGTTTATATCGATGTATATGAATTTAAGCAGATCCTTTTCCCTGTCTTATTGATTTTAATTCATTTGTTGTGTAAGCATTCGAAAACGCCATTTTTGCTCTTCTTTCATTAACCATTTAATTTCACATTAAACGTTTAACAACTATGATTTAAATGAACATGTACTTTAGAAAGTCGCTCTAATATATAATTGACAGATTGTATTTTGTTTCTCTTTCTCTTTGGACTTAATATACATTGTAATTAAATCTACATTATTCAAGAAGATTGTCGTCATGATGGCACTAAAAGTGTTTCTGTTAAGAGTAAATAAAAATAAAGAAATATAAGCACGGAATTGTTATTAATTACTTGTATAAGTAACACAGTATCCTCTGTTAAATCTAATATCATATCTGAAGTTAAATTTAAGGATAGAGAATAATTATAGGTCTAATAACCCTGTATAGACTTAAGCCTATACATCCAAACATAAAAATAAACATCGGATCTGGACTGTTTAATATTACCTTGTCTTCTGAGTCCAGGTAATCACTCATTTCTAAGAATAATCCTTCATTTAGAGAAACTGTACTTCGTCACATTTATTTCGGTATAAACCAATTCAGAAGTTTTAGACCTCGTTAATGTATATGTATCACGGCTGTAAGAAGAGTTCTTATCTCAGCTGATGTGGACAGATATGATGATATTTTTCGGATATAATGTATTTTCAATATACGACACAAGTAACACAATTCCAGCAATATAAAGCACGATTGACTGTCACTTTCTATATAGCGTTGATATTCCCTCAAGATATTGAGTATATAGGCTTTGTTTATGGTCCAGTCTGATTTTTAAAGACATGTTTATGTAATATATTATCCTTTAAAACTTAAGAAGAACAGCTACAACTACTTTCAAAACAATTTAGAAATTAAAAAGTACACATTTTAGATTTGGAATTTTACGACTTGATAAAGCACAGCTCTCGTGCACTCTGGTTAACTGACGATTTTGTGCATTATCATTCTGTCAGCAATACGCGTGACTGTAAGTCCTAAGACCCTACTTCTAACATTCATTCGGTGCTGTCAACCGTTTTTCAAAGAGTTTTAAAGATGTGCATTGTTGCATATGATTAATTATTTATTCGTCAATTGATATCATCAACAATGTATAGCTATTATCGCTGTAATGTCATCCGTGTTAAATGTTGCTCTGTGTGAAATTATTACGATTGAATATATTTCAACATTGAGAATCGTGCGATATATGATGAGTTAACGGAACGAACCTTAGACCTACTTAAACATTGATGTCGTATGATAAAGACCATAACACATGAAAACTTTAATGTTACAGAGAGTAGAAAGATTCAAAGAATTCATTGTAAACACATTCAGAAAGACACAGAGAAAAAACGTGCTGGCGATTGAAATGTTTAATGGATCTTGAAGACAACAATAGATCTGTATTACAGGTTTCATTTAAAGGGAATCTAAGTCCTTTACAGCAAAAACCTAATCAACTGTCTTTGTAAATATCAAATGTTGACAACAGAATATATTGATCCCTATATGAAGCACATTGTACATAATAAATAGCAGAATGAAAGGTCAAATATTGTCTCTTATATAAACACACTACACTAACCTATTTTTTTTACCATCAAAGTGTCAGTATAAAAATTTTCGTCTACAAAATAGAAATTTATTTCATATTTTCAGATCCAATTTTCGATCACACAGACACACCTTCACACAATTCCACACATACCTTAGTACTTTCATGATTATTTCACAGTTATTTCTTATGTAGACGAGGATTTTGAAAGATATTATCGTTTAAACGAAGTTCCAGTGCAAATGAAATCAAGTACTTTGAAACTTTCATGGTTAATCAATTAGTATTAGATGAAATAATTATACATTGCTAATTAATACATTATATATATATAGAGAGAGAGAGAGTATATATATATATATAGAGAGAGAGAGAACTTGTTTATACGTTTTAGACTAGTTATTTTTTGTATAATTATGCTTCTTGTCAAAGATTGGTCTTAAACTTTTAATATCTCGAATTTAGGGACAATGTTTCAATGATGAACGTCCAAATATTTATTATGAACTTGTTTACTTTTAATGATGTCTTTTTATGTGAATATAGGTTTATAATCTTACACGAACCCCTTTCTTGAAAGGAAATCAGTCTTTATGATAGACTTCATTTTGAACATTCAAAACATATTGTAGATTCGATGATGACGAACAATCAGTATTTTCAGTACTTTGAATATGTACACCTGAATTGATGTCAAATGTTTCACTGATTTAGGAAGTCGATTACTGAAAGTTGACTCTGTTTTTAATCATATAGATCAAATACGTATATTTGGCTTGAAGTTTAAAGGTAGATTTTACACTGTACTACAGTTTAGATGAACTTTCGAGGTTATCTTCATATTTCATGTCACCTACTGTATGGATAATGTCTGGCAAAACAATTTGTCTTCTAAAACTTTGAGATTATTTTTAATATATGGGTTTACGCGTTTACACTCTGAAAATGGTATAAATCTAAAATGGTATATCAATATATGAATTGTAAGGTATATGAAGAAAAATATTTACAATAATTGTTTATAAATGTATCAATTAAGTTAGCAATAAAGAAACAACATACACTGATAACTTTTGAACATAAAAATACAATTTTACTGAAATTTCGCAGACCAACAAGTAAATATTTATCTTCTTAATTCACCAATCTTGTGCCATATTAATTATAAGGTCGTCGTTCAAAAACAGGAATTTGATCCACCAAGACATCCTTCTTATTTTGATCGAAGCACAAAAATGTTATATGCTTCTTTACAGTACAGTGTAGATGGTGAAACAGTAAAATATTCTAAAAGCCAAGATGACGACTTTGTTATAAATTTTGATACTGAATGGCCCTATTTTTTCTAAACAAAGATGAAGTCATATACAATATTTTTATTTCAACAGTGGGGTTTCCTTTAAAGCAAATAGGAATTGTCTCAGACATCTAACAAAGCGATAATTTCTTAAACTTAATCTACATGTATAAGAGAACCGACAGCCATTCTACAACACAATGAAATCAATTTCTATAGAATAGTCAATGTAGGGATCGATTCCCTGTACCACAGTACAGACAGGCTCTGTCTTGTTAGGCTGACCTATAGTTTACTATCATACTGGTGGGATTAAATACCCGAGCAGGCGGAGCTCATTAGTGTTATATTTAGATACCTAATGATCTTGTCTGTCTATATCCCTGACAGGTATCCTTATTAATGTGTTTAAAGAAAGACCTGCTCTTTTAAAGTTTTTGTTACTGGCGGAAAATGAGAGAGAAAGAGAGAGTAAGTTTACCTGCAGTATTTTTTCAATATCCGTGGAGACATCGTTCGTCAACATTTTCAGTTTTTCACTTGCTCAGATTTAAAATCCGATATTACAACTTTCTTTCGTTATAAAGTTTTTCCTTTCTTATCTTAAACCTGGTAGAACCAGCATTACTTATTTTTCATGTCACCGTCTACCTGCTGGTTTAATAACACCATTTTTCTAATCACTGCTGTGACCCTGTCTATTAGAATTGGCTTTACCAACGAAATCGACAAACGAAAAACAAATTTATTGATCGCCGATTGCACAATAGAATTAAAAGTCTTTGGCTCAGGAGAGTTTGTCTTTTCAATCAGCGATTTAAGTTAAACACTGTACAATATCAACTGGAATTGGAGAGCAGTGAAAAAAAAAAATCAATCCTCGAGTTCAGTAGTGTGGAGTGTGGAACAGCATTCATTCTCCTGTTTTTAGTTAATGAAATATACAGCTGAACACAAGACACTATCACAAAGGTAACGAAGAGCTACCCTTTCTGGATTCTAACATTGCAAAGCATGTTAGAAAATGTGACCTGCTAGTCGCATGTTTATTTAATTACGGTATGTGTAGAGACAGGCCTTTATTAGGTTATTCATTATGTCAACAAACTGTGTAATTCTATTTAATCTTTCAAAGACCTGAAGTTTAAATGTCCAAAATACGAGTAAATAACCAACTTTCATTATTTTTCCTTGTAACTTTTGCAAAAAGAGTAACTTACAAGTGTAGAAGCAAATGAAATCTCTTTGATATGTAGGAATATGAGTAAACACTGAATAAGAAATTCTCTTTTGAAATTTTTCTACATTTTTTTTTTATGTTTCTTGTGCAAAAACCAATTCAAATCAATTCAAATCTCAAAGTTCTACCATTGATTATAAACAACGGCGCAGGGAACTTTCTGTTTGCAGAAAAGAGTTCGATTTCATTTTCACAAATTTATCTCTCCAAAAAGGATTTTCCTCTACAGACTGAATTAAGGCACGTGCCATCGTTTTGTTTTGTTTTGTTTTGTTTTTTTTTTTTTTTTGTTTTGTTTTTTTTTTTTCAAATTTGGGATGTGGGGGTTAGGAAAAAAATGAGCAAGTAAGCAAGGGGAAAAACTGAAAGAGAGTTTGGGAATACTGCACTTAAAAAGTGGGAGGGGTGCCTTTTTCATGATTAAAAATTTCCATACTAGTCTAAGACTCTTGCCCACCCCATACCTGGTACTTCAGACAAGCTGTTTACTGGCAAAATGATGCTATTTATAGATATAGCAGAAAGGATTGTATTAATTTTTATACTTATAAATTAATAAACTTTGCAAATAAACTCCGAATTGAGTGCGCCAGAGTTCCTACTAACTCCTCTAAGAATACACTAGATACAAGATGTTGTCCGTAAACTATATTTAGATTTCACTCGCATAGTAAGTATCGTGCATTAAATTAAAAGTGTACTTTCATTTTCTATAAACAGCCATGAAATAGCAGAAACGTGAGTACGGTGGCGTTTCCGGTTGGCGGATCTAAGTTACTGGCAATTTTTAATGAAACTGGCAACAAGCAATCGTTTATTTATTTCATAAAACGTCATCACTGAAATATTCAATCAAAACTTGATTTAAATGATATAAAAGAAATAAGGTGTGATAACCGATTAAAAAGGGAAATGTGCAAGTTATTTTCGTCATTCACCGATCTTAATATTGACGGAAGCTTCTAGAACATCATATAGCATCGAGCCCGATGTTTTAAAAAAAAACGAGGCGATAGCTGCATGAACATAAAAAAAACGCTTTTGTGTGAATGGTCATTGAAATAATGGTAAATCATTGATAACACTATAAGTTGTGAATATATTTATATATCGAACGATTATTACATATGTGTAGTAGGGTTTTCCTAATTTTATCGGTAAAATTTGTATATATTAATTCCTCACTGAGAGCATAGTGGCAACGAACCCGAAGTACTATTTGTACTTAGTAATAAACTTTCTTACACGAAAAGAGAAAATTAATGAATAAGGTATTATTCAAATACAATCAAAGCTGTAAAATTTTGTGCTTTAATCAATACATTTCAATTTTTTTTTCAGAATACAGTCTTTTGTATCAAATACTCGGCCTATTCATAGGGCGTTAAATGCTAATTTTAACACAGGTACTTGGGTCTTGGATTATAAATAAGTATGAGCCTTATTGATATATGTATGTAAAAAAAAAAGTAAAGTACATTTTTACATATCAATGAGGTACATACATATTTATAATCCAGGATCCAAGTACCTGTGAATTTCTAACCCCCCCCCCCCCAAATCAATTTATCAGTAAAATGTGCATATCCATTGCTTTCATCCTTGACGGAAAAGAAATAATAGCATCTGAAGAACAATATCCATAACATAGTATAACAGGTTTCACAATAAAATAAACTTCAATTAATGAAATTGTTATTTTTTAAGTTTTTACGAAAGGGGGGGGGATGAAGACGTACATCTACTTCATGCGGGATTTTGGACAACTGGACAAAGTATTTCTTCCTGCTGTAATCCTGTAGGCAGTCAGTAGAAACTACAATATATTTTCTGTCGGTAGTGGTAGAAATTCAATTCCCCGCGCTTGCGCGGGATTTTATCTAGTAGTTCATAAAAAATGAGGTAATGATGGGTGCTAAAGTCGGGATCCAGTTTCACGAAATGCATTTACAGAGGGAAAATAATCTTTGAAAAATATGCTCGATCTAGAACAGCAAGGCAATTTTATTCATATTGATATTGAAGCATTCTCATGTTGTGTAGATCCAAGAGTTCTTAAATCATAGAACCTTTCAGCTAGGATGGGGTCCCAATTGTTTTTTTTAATTTTTATGTGAATAAGAAAGAGAAAACGTCTTTGGACAAGGTAAATCAGATGAGCATTTAGGCCCATAGTCTCTTGTTTAACACAACATTAAGGTAAACGCATATTTCTTCCAACTGAGATCAAATTTGTCTTTTAAAAGATCTAATAAATAAAAAAAAACATTTAAAAGAAACACCTCTGAACATACTTATTCAGCGCTTAGCGAAAACTGAAGAGGGTGGAAGATCTGTATAAAATGCAGATGGAGAAATAAAATAGTCCACTCTGACGTCTTAACTTTTGTCAATAGGGATTTTTTTTACGTTGAAGAAATTCACGACCTTACGTTTCATTGCAAAAGGTTACAGAGAAACTATCATCTGAAAACTATGTATGTATATATCTATATATTTCCATTTCTATTTGTTTTCTCTGTGATAACTCTTTGAAATATAGGAGAATTGATTTCTTGATCATTCTAACGGAATGCAAATTTCGCCAAGCGAAAGGTCAGGAGCTAAGACGGCCTAATATGCATGTAATTGTCGTGCGGCTGTCTTTGTGTTTGACGTCAGTGGACGGGGACTATTGAAATTGACATGTGAGGCCTCGTGTAATTTAAATCAATTAGTCTACATTTTTAAAATCTAAATTTGCAATTTTATTTCACAATGAAATGGAAATATAAGGAATCACTGTCTAGTTAGTAGAGTATGCCAGGGACATCAACGATAGTTGGAAACGTGGGATAATTTATGCATAACGGGCTTCGCCCTTTATGCAAATTATCCCACGTTTCCAACTATCGTTGATGCCCTGGCATACTCTACTAACTAGACAGTGATTCCTTAAGTCAATGGGGGATGTTTTTAAAGTCGTATTGACTGAAGATATATAACATTTCATTTCCAAACCTTGAAATTAATAAAAGTTATACCTGGAAACCATTTTTTCAGTTTATGAATTTGACCTTTGACCTCAGAATAAATTGAGGTCCTCTTTAGGTCATATGGAGTTGTGATATATAATTTCATTGTAGAAACTTTCGTCAGGAAACGAAAGCGTTACACACAGATAAAATATATGAAATATGGAGATAATAAAGAGTAATCAAGCTCAAGTCCATTGAAACAATAAAATGTGGAGCATAGAAAACATGGACTTCTAAAAACATCAGAGGTGGGATCAGGTGCCATTGAGGAGTCTGTCGACCAGTCACTCCAACCGTGTGCTCATCGTTATGATATGGAAAACGGGAAAAAACCATAGACATGTGTGTAAATAATGGCTAAGCAATTTTTTATGAAAAACGTCAATCAGAATTCGACTTAATTATAGAATGTATTGGTATGAATTTCTGACCTTAACCTTTGACTTTTTGGCTTCAAAATCAATAGGGTCTTCTTTCAGCCATAGAGAGTTGTGATTTTAAAATTTCATTTAAAAAAAAAGGCTTTTTGAAGTATCGACCGGAAACCTTTTAGACATAGACAGAATGACGCACAGACCCAAATTAATATCCTTCAATTTCAGCGGGGGACAATAAATATCTAATTCACGCATCGATCCGACACTTCTATGAAGCCGCCATATTTCATATAAAATTCGCATTTTATGATTATCAATAAAATGTACTATAATTGCATTGGACACAAGGAAAAATTTTATCAATCACGATATTTCGTTTTATAGTGTCAAAATTGATCGTTACCAAAGTTTTGGTAATTTTAATTTATTTAGTTTTAGTTGGAGGAGTATTTTTGGTCTAAAGAAACATTTTAATTCTGTAAATTTGCAAAGATTATACCGACACAAGTAAATCGACTTTCAAAGTATTTTAGCGATACTTTTGAGAGGAACATGTATATCAGACAGCTTAGTAAGATAAGGACGAATTTTAAAATGGTATTGAGGAAAACTGTTAATACTGTATATAGTACATGCATTTGATGTGAAAGATATATCTGGAAAAGGTGCATTTTATTGTCCTTTACATGAATTCGTGGCAAGCAGGTTCTTGAAGCCAAAACCAGTACTAGTTCATAAAAGTTTAATACAATATCAACTGAATTTTATTTTCAACAAATCGAAATATTTTTTTATAGATAAAATATAGATATAATGTGCATATTCCTCAGACGATTTATGTCCACAGGGTTTATTTCATCTTTTATTTTCCAAATCTCCGAAATCTGTTGTAGTTCTTTCCTCGAATCA